TGACATACTGGATATTGGGCAGATGAAGACTCATGGAGAGTGCTGTATACTGTTTAGAGAATTTTCTTTGCAGAGTAGGAGTCTCTTTGTACTCTTACAAATAGAAAAAAAAATCATCGTATTGGCAATTCAGAATAATAGTAATCTAGCTGAGTACATCCTGTGTGTGTCAGAAATATTTTACTTCCACAGTTGCTATAGGGTAAGTAATCATTCCCTTCCAATGGACTGCTGAACTATATTAAACATACATGTAGATAGTTTCTATTGTAAAGATTTACATGTGATGTTAAGTTAGCTTTGTATAGAACACAGTGTAACCACTGATCATGTTTTACCATAAGAATGCTTCAAGAAGTGTCCTAGCCTTAAGTCTGTGTTATTGCTGAGCAGATTATAGGGTTTAAAAAAAAATAAAATGAGAGGGATTATCAAGATTTAGAAGTGGGGAAAGATAATCTTATAGAGCCGTGGTTCTCAAACTTTTTTTTTCTTGGACCACTTGAAAATTGCTGAGGGTCTCTGCGGACCACTTAATCTCCATCATCAGAAAAAATAAATCAAGTGCAGGGCCAAGTGCAGATATTCTCGATTGTTCCACAAGCTTTCTGTGGACCACCTGAATGGAGCTCGGTCCTCAGAGCACAATCTGAGAACCTCTGTTATAGAGGAAAAGCAGGCCAGGGAGTGAAGAGATGCAGACTTTTTAATCATTATGCCATCAGTTTTAAATTATATTTGTAAATGATGTTGGGAATCTTGATGAAAATTTCATAGTAGGACATAGAAGCACTCTTGCATCTCTGTCCACCAAACTAGTAAATTTATACTTTGGATATATTTGATGTCTCATGAGAATTCACGGGTGTATCCTAAAGTAAATTTCACCATTCGTATCCACGAATTGTGTTGTTTTTAACAAAGGCGGTGATGTTCGGTATATGAGCTTCTCCTTAGCATTTAGTCAGAGGTGGGTGGTTCAGCCCTATGTTCCCTCAACTCTGCTATTGGGGGCTGTGGGCATTGGTTCTTAAATTGCACGGGGAAGCTATCCCTCAGGCAGCCTATTCAAAGCTGGCGGCTGTCAGCTTCCCCTTGCTATCCTCACCCTGCTGCCCAGTGGGGCAGCAGGGGTAGGGATTGCAAAGGACTCAGGATTTGGACCCAGTCTCTGGGAGGCTGTTCCCAAACCCAATTTCTAGCCCTGTCCAGCTTTCCTTTGCCCCCCACTGCCAAGCTGAGTGGCACAGGCAAAGATGTCAAAGCTCTTGGGTTTGGGAACTCAGGTTGGGGAAGCTATCACTGCCCCAGTTCTCAGCCTCACAGGCTTTAAATCACAACCCCTTTCCCCTTCCACCACAGCTCATGACCCCATGGGCTTTAAATGCCAAGGAGACAGGGTCAGGGAGGTAGTCCCTACCCCTCAATCCGTGCATTGCTGAACACAATGCAATGTGCAATGAACACAGGCTGTTCAAAAGCTGGGAGGTTGCATATTGGCACTCTGTCCCCCTCCCAGGTTGGGGACAGAATACGTTATCAATTAATGGGCTCCCCTAAGGATGGGGGTGGCCAGAAAGCAGCCCCTCTAGTGGTACCTGGCTGGAGAACTTGCCTGTGTAGGTCCCCATCCAGAGGACTGGAATACATGTACACTCTAGCTCCTGGGCTATTTTTCTACCAGTAACAGTTTCAGAGAAATTGTTACCAGTAGAAATGATCGCCTGTCCGAGGCCCTTTTCTTCTTTCTCATATGCAAGTATGGTTCCAACTGTGTAACAAGGCTTTAAGTTTGTGCTCTATATTACCAGTCAGCTGGATAGATGATTTTTTGGAACGTGATGTTGGATAAAGTAAGATTTTGGGAGGCAAGTGAGATTCATAGCCCCCATCTCATAAAGTGCAGAGGTAGTAAGTACCTGCCTTTTCAGGCCTTCATTCTTCTGAAATCAGGGCTCAATACTGAAACCTTTTGCCACAGAGCTATTTTTTGTAGTTTAGGGATGATATGAGCTGAGATTAGGAGATTGGGGTAGAATTTTTCAGGCCTCAGACTTGGAGGATGTACTCTATGGGTGTCACCTACTCCTGTGGTCTCATGCAGAGAAAAAATGCAGAAAAGATTTTGACTGTTAATCACTCTGTAACACAGTTCCTCCTCTCTAAAACAGGGATTACAGCAGCACCGCCATTTGTCTGTCTTGTCAGTTTAAGCTGCCAGTTCTTCAGAGCTCAAACTGGCTTTCACTTTTGTATGCTTCTTAGTACAATGGGGCTCTGTCCTAACTGAGGCCTTTAAGCACTACAGAAATACAAATTTAACAATACTTTCCCTTTTAAGTAGAAAATATGGTAAAGAGTTTACCAAAACATGTTAGTATTTTTTGCTTGAGCCACCATTTAGGAGTGATGGAGCACTTAAGGGATTTCATTGCAGCTCCAGAAGCCTAAGATCACAAGCCCTAGACTTGTGCCAAAGTCTATCTCAGTCAGTCTAGCACAGTCATTCAGGCTGTGGGTGTCAAAGGCAGCCAGACATGATGCTATATTGTTGGCCAGAAAAGCTGGTAGGCCCCAACTGCACGTAAGATGGGCCTCAAGGTTCAAGGTTTCTTTGACTAATTATGAGCCTGTAGAAAACACAACCATTCAAGCATTCTACGAAGACCAAGTGAAAAATGTTATAGTCTCTGTTATTCCATTTTGAACTTTGTGAAATAGTTCTTCTCCTGTTTTAAAATACCACATCTTAGAATTTAGTGCCTTAGTTGGCTAACATTGTATTTTCTGTAACCTAGTTGCGTTCCCCTCCTCACCCCCCATCCCTCCTATGTTAATCCCTTGCTCGGGCAATCTGTATTTCCCTACTGGCTTTGTCATTTTTTGGGGTTCATAACTCTTAACATCTATTAAATTAGTACCACTTTCCTAGTTGGTACCAGATAACTGAATCCCCTTGAAGCCAGAAGATTTTACTAACCATATCAGCAGCATTGGGCTTTCAGCTAAATTGTCTTCCTAGGAAATGTCCTAATTAAGTCGGCTTCCTAATTTAAATCTGTCCTGATTTAAGTGAAGTACAGCATTGTACTCGTGTGAACATTCTCTGTTTTTGGTAGGTGATAGGATTAGTTATAGGCATTTTCTTAGGAACAGATGAAATACAGTTGCAGTATGATGCCTAGCCCTCGCAGCCTAGGCATGAAATATGCACGTTCTTCTTTCAAATGTGTTGGCAGAACATGGAAGTGCCCTAATATAAATTATTTAGATGCTGGAGTATAAAACATGCAGCATTGTCTCTTTAGCTTGTTGAGTCCCTAAGTGAAGCCATGGGTGCTCCTGTGGATAGCTAGATGGGGTACAATGTACTCTAGTACACTTTCTGTAGTTGAGAATTGTCATTCATGGTTTGTTTTAAAAATAACAGGACATCTCTTAACATTCAGGGTACATTTTTCCAGCCTGAAGCATCATAGCAGTCTTTTTAAAGAAACTCTAGGAAGGGTGTTAACTTGATCAATGCTGTGTAGGAAGGAAGGCTCTTTCCTACTATTTTTTTCACTATGACTTTCACTGACATGATTAGGCTGGGAAAAGACTTACTGGCTGACAGCCCAGGACAACCGTGCAGTATCTCAAGTCATCTGGAACTCAAACCACACTGCCCAAGGGAGAACCATAACATAAAAACAATTTAGGTTATATACTGAAACTTATAAACATGGTTCAGTTAAAAATGTATTTTAAATAGTATTTGCATGCACTTGGGTTATATGTTTCCCTGAAATGGATGTTCTTTATGAGCTAATGAAACTTTAAAAAAAAATAAACAATTTCCAAAAATATGGAAGACTTTTCCAAAAACATAGAAATGATTCCCTTTCATCTCAAATGTTTAAAGAGTTGGCTTCCAAAATATTTTTGACTTCCTTATAACACAATGCAGAGGTCCTTACACAGACAAAATTCCCATTGCCTCCCATATGAATTTTGCTTGAATGAGGGCCTCAGAATTTGGGCCATTATTCAGCTTAGAAATTTTACATAAAAAACTTGGACTTTTTTTTTGCCTTTAGAAAAAAACAGGATACTTAAATTGTAGGGTGAAAGGCTTTATTTATTTTATATGGATATTTTTCAGTTTGTAGTTAGGGATGGGGTTTATTTTCCTTTTTTCTGTTCTTATTTATATTTTATCTTTTATGCATTTATATATTTTAGTGTTACCATTGCCTTAGTTTATCGTGCCATTGCACCACATGTTCTTATGCTCTTGCAAAGACTGAAGAGCACTCCTAGCTTTCTTTACATGCTGTGAGTAGTTCTACTGAACCCAAAATGGCTATTAGAAATTCATAGTTATGCATATGCATAAGACCTTGCAAAATTAGGGGCTGCAACTTGTAACTATTTTCCTTTGTTTAATTTTAAGTTGCTTTGTAGCACATCAGGAAAACATTCCTCTCAGAGCAACTTACATTGATAGTCAAATACACTAAACTATAGTTCTTGAAATCAGTTTCTCAGTTAAAATTCAAAGCCATTGAGGGGTACTGCTCCCCATTACCTTTTCTAAGTAATAAAAAGTGAAAGGATACCTTTCCTTGATATAAATTTTTAAAGAGCTAGCAAGATCATACCGCAATGTAAAATAGTAAATTTATGTATTATTTATATTTTCTGTCTTTCCTGATGTACTCTTAACTGAAGGGGAGATGTGGGGAAAAAAGACATTGGCTCATAAGCTGAGTTTTAACTTTCCAGCTTTCAATGAAACAAGCCTGAAATTTTTAGGAAAATGTTCTGCTTCTTAAAAATGGCAACTCATATAATTTCAATAGCTAGAATCAGTTTCTTTTCATTTACTGGAAAGCTCTAACATCTGAGAATAACACTGCCTATTTATGACCTAACTGTTAGTGGGAAAGAGAGAAATTATCTTATTGTTAACTTGTTCCATATTTTGTTGTCTGATTTGTATGCTGTTCTCATTACAGGCTTTGATGAGACCTGGACGACTTGACAGAATCATCTACATCCCCTTGCCAGATGAAACCACTCGTCAAGAGATTTTTAAACTTCAGTTTCAATCGATGCCCATCAGTGATGAAGTCTGCTTGAAGGACCTTGTTCAGCACACGCACAAGTATTCAGGAGCAGAGGTAAAATAATTTCTATTCTCCAAATGGCTCAGGAGTGAAAACATAGAGCTATCTTTGAAAAAAAATTGCAACTTTAATTAAGATCAGTTCACTTAAGTGAAGGAAATTGTGAAGACAAATATATGTGAGAATACAGTGCCCTTTCTTTATGTGCACTTCCTTGGTGATTTGCCAGAAAGATAATCCAACATGAAGTCACTATTCCAGGAGCAGTTTCAAGAATAGCCCTGGTCAAAGGGGGAGCAGAGGTAAGATGACCCCGTTGAAATTATATTGTGGGAGAGACAGTGAAAAGTGACAAAAGTGGTGAGAGGGTATGGGTCCTCTGGACAGTTGAACTCAGCTTCCTGCTGATCTCTGAAGATCCTTCCTATTTGGAGGTATGATCATTAGCCTATTCTATGTAAAGGACAAAGAACTACAAAACAATGTGGGGAACTCTTTGAGGGAACATTACACGTTTTGTTTCTAGAAAATATCTTTCCACAAAGGGGTCAGATTTGGAGGCTGAGACTAAAACTAGAAAAAGTGGTCTCGGTACAAGACAGAGAATGTTGAGTGTTGCAGTTGTGCGCTGGGGTGGTAGGTTTGCAATATCCCAAGGTACATGTTATGAGTTTGTGCTTTGAAGAAATTCTTAGGTTTATATTATAGGGTATACTACAGTAGTGTTTGTGCAATTGCTAGGCTTAGTAATTGTGATAGCTCTTCCTGGATTAGATTTCCTTTCCTTGTTCGTCCTGGCCCTGAATTATTTATATGTGTACAATACTCATTGCACTGTATTATACTGTATTAATCCCATGGTTCTGCCAGTCATGTACAGTGTTCAGGAAGAATTTTTTATTTCCCCTTAAAATGCCTTATTTGATATCTGGGATTCAGGGGAGGGGATGAATATATTAAACATACCAGGTTTGTTTATATGTATCTATATTAAAAGTACCAGGTTTATTTGTTGAGGTGCTTAGTGGTTGTGGTGTTAGAGGGGTCTGAGTCTAATGATAGAAAGTGTCAACCACCTGTAAGTAGACACTACTAACACTGTTATTATAGGCATAACTAGCACTGCATTTGTGGTTTTATAGACATAACTAGCACTGTAGGCAATCTGTAGTTAAGGTTACCTAAAATTTTCTATTATAGGATCTCATTTTCATTTCCTTTTGATTGATCAGGCTAAAATTGTCCTTGCTAGAGGTCTGCCTGAGAATAAGACCAGGAAAAATATGTTGTTTTTCTCTGTTTAAAAAAAAATGTTACATCCTTTTTGTTGGGGAACTCCATGCTTTGAAGCAGACTTGTCGTCATCACTTTGCTGTCAGTGATATGACATTTGCCATTCTTGTGAGAATTCATCCACATTTGTCTAAATTTTAAGCCTCTGAAAAGGTTAAAAACAATTAAGAAATATGTATGTTAAACTACCCTCTCTCCAGAGTGCAAGTGCTGGAGAAAGGATAGTTTAATTGAAAACATTTCTGGGGAGATCCTGTTAGATCTAGCTCATCTAAAGCAGTAATGGAAAGTTCCTGTAATTTAGCTGACGATTACAGAAAAGAAACTGTCCCCTGGCTGTGGCTTTATATGAAATCAAACCTTAAATTACTTAATCAATCACTGATTGCATCTACAGACTAGTAGCAGGAATAAACTGTTTTTACAGTAGCATTTATCATAACATGAGTTATGATCATATTATCTTTATTTTGCATCACTCAAAGAAGTGTTGCAATTGTGACAGAACAGTACAGAGAGAACTTCTCAGTAAGTGTTACTTGGAAGTATATGTAAAAAGTCTGACGGTTGGCACAGACAGTGCCCTGTTTCATTAAGCCTTTTCTTCCTGGTGTCTCCAGTTTCCCAGCTTTACAAATAGTTTCCGCTGCTGAATGGCAAGTTCCCATATCTACTGTTCTATCCTTTGTTTACCGATAAAATGGGAAATACTTGTTTTTGTGACTGTTATATGCTGTATAAATAGGGAACTTCTCATAGAGGTGTCTTGCTCTATCCCAAAATGAGCTGAATAAGAAATAAATAAAAGAGTCTAGCATGCATATAGACTTCATGCTTGGCATTTTTCATATCTGATATTTGTATCTTTTTCTTACCACTTACGACTTGTACCTCTTAATGAATATATAATAGATATATAAAGAGAGAGAACAAAATGTATTTATTTTTACAGCTTTACAGTGAAAGGAGTGGGACATAACTTGTGAGAGCAAGAGCCATAAGTGAATTGTGAAGTTTCTTCCTTCCCCTTATAAGTGAAGTGCAAAAATCAAAAAACACCCTTGGGGGGGGTCAGTCATATGTTAAGTATTTAGTAACTCAGCAATATGGGTCTAAGCCAAACCCTATATCTGAGCACTCCTAAGTTGTGGAGAAGTTTGGTTTAAAAAATGACCATAACCTCTTATGTCATTCCCTAGTGCAGCCTCATGTTTATACTCAGTATATATGTGCTTGTAGCTCCTACAGTGTCTCAAGTGAACTCATATAGATACAGCTTAAAGTATAAGTGGTATAAAGTCATACTTAGAACTTTTTTTAAATAGTAAGATTGGCTTCCTCTCCCATGCCAAGGATGGTTAGAAGAAGAATAAAGCCTTCTAGGAGTCAGGAACCAAACCTTTCTCTGGCTGCTTCCCCCACTCCCCCCTAAGGCATTCCTCCTTCTGTCAAGAACACAGGCAAATTTTTCATGCAGCTGCTAGGACCAAGTCATTCACAAGGTAGGTCTGTTTTCTCTCATGAAAGGTCTGTAGTAACCAACTATCTGCCTTGTCATGTTCTTAGGTTGACTTATTGTCTCCCTTGATTCTTTGTATTTCTGGTGGGGAGTTGGTCCCTTCAATCACAGTTCTCGTCTAGGAAGTTCTGTTAAAGATCCTCAGGGCTGCTGCCCCTGGACACAACAAAGCTATAGGAAACAATGAGAAGAATAGCGCTTACGCTATTCCCGTCTTGACATCCCTGAAGCTTCTAGCAGTATCAGGGAGGAGAAATTGAGAAGTACTCATTGGATCTAATAAAAAAAAAAGCAAAAAAGGATCTTAAATTACCTAAACTTTCACAAAGTTATTTTCAGCATTTTTACCTTTTAACAAGGGTTAATGTAACAGCATCCCTAGTTACAAAAGAATTTGTGTTTATAAACCATTTTTTGGTGTTTCTGTGTTAATGTGATATAGATAAGCAAGGTTTTAGGCCAGCTTTCCAAAGTTCCTAAAAGTTCTGTTTAGAAAAAAAAAATCACTATATTATACTTATATGGCAGTTTAGTCATAACATTTCCTAGGGTGGTTTTCATTCTGGTGCCTCAGACCAAGGTGTTCTAGGCACAACTTTCAGTAGTTTATTTGATTTATTTTTAACTATACTTCCTGCAATCAAAACCAACTTTTTAAAGTCAGAACCCATAACTTTTTAAAAAATCACTTGCTAGTTAACCTTAGTTCCTTCAATCTCACTCATTTTCTTCCATGAATTTCCCTTAATATAGCCACTTTTTTATAGAAGTCTTGAAATATATGACAGGCCTTAATAAGAGCTTACTTTCCTATTCAGACATGGTTTAAGTGAGGTTTTCTTAATCATTTCCTATTTTCTCTAGTCTGACTTTATCCCAGCTACATAGTTGGTCCAATAAAAAATATAACCCTAAGAAATCCTTGCCTCTCACATAATTTCTGGACCATCACAGCTACAACATCACTCTTACAGCACTGTAATAGAAAATACAAACAGCTGAAACCCCCAAAGCACTAGTGGAAATAAAAACAAAATACCTGCTAGCATTTTACTTGTCCTGTAATACTGAAATTATATGGTCTCAAAGAAGCGGGCATGTAGCTGGAACACATATTGGCATACAGAAGGAGGAAAAACTACTTTTACAAATATAAAGAATGATGTTTTCTGTAGGTTTGAATTTGGAAAAAAATGGACTTACCACTTTTCTTCACAGCCTAAATAAGGAAAGAAATTACCTGAAGTTTCAATGCTTGGAATTTGATCTGTAAATGGAGACCAGTGGGGACAGAGACCATCGTTTCTGCAATTAAAATAATATTTAAGAAATTAGCTGGATAAATAAGGGGGAAAAATCAAAGGGCGAGGAAGTTGCCATTCATTACCTGAGCCCCAACACAAAATAACATGGCTATTTAAATTTAGAAGGCAAGAGCTGCAAAGAAGACAGTGAGCGGCACTTTAAGTGCACATGGATTGTTTTAACTTAGATCTGGTTAGAAATGATAACAATGATGTCTCCTTTGGACAGGTGTGTTAATGAAAAATGAGTTTATGAGAGAGTTTATTTGGCGTGAGAGAAACGGCTGGCATCATCTGTATGGAATATTAGTTTCTATGCTTATAGGAAACAATAGTAATGAGAGAGAGACATAAATCTTTCATTTATACTCAGCTGAAGCTGAAGAATTGATGTAAAAGTACCTTTCTTTCTTTCCAATAACTCCCAGAGTAAACGTAGAACATGCAAAACAAAATGCCAACCAAGTTTCACTGTGGCTCACATGAAAGATAATTTGGTGCCAAAAAAGAAACTTTGCAGCAACGCACACGCTCAAGCAGTTTGCATATTCATTCCAAAATACAAAGGGCTGCTTTATTTTAATTTGATGGATTTTTTTATTTTTAAATCTGAACTTCTAAATAAATACCTTCTAACCATATGAAAGAAGCCAACTTGCTAATAATAGAGGATTATGTTGTGAATAACACAACAGCAGATAATGGGTAGAAGTAGTTGAACAAATGAAATTACCTTTCCTGTGAAGCATGCACTCTAAAGATAGGAGAGGATGGGATAAAGAACAAAGTGATACAAAGTGGGATGTGGTCTTTATACTTGCAATTCCTTATGAAACAGGTCAATCTTCTAATGGGCTCTTCAGTTAAATTTAATCTGGACGCTGAATCAAGCCTATACGGTGGTCAAAAATGATGTAAGGCTGAGACTGGTTGAGGAG